AAAGAAGTTCTCGGTTTTTGGTTAATTACGCTCCTCTCTTGGTATGATTAGTTGCGTGAGTGGTAGCATCCTGGTCCCCCATGAAACAAGTGAGAAACGGGACAAACATCTGCTTATTCACCAACCGGTAGAAGTCCAGTGCATTACGAAACCTGTTTTAAATCAAGACAACGCCGACTGAATTGTTCAATTTGTCCAAATTCCTCGTGACTCTCACCTTCCGTGCAAAAGTTTTAAATGTGATCAAAATGGGAGTAAGACCATAACCATCAGTTATTTTCTATCGTTTAAAGTACAGTTTGAAATTATCGCTTGATCTTTGCGCGATTTCTTAGCTTTTGATCAGTTGAAATGGCGGTTGAATTAAGGCTGCAAACACCAGACAGCACCATAGCCACTTGCTAGTTAGGGGAACTGTCAATTAGCGATGAAGCCGGGCACTGTTGCTTTGAGCGTTTAGAACAGGCGGTGCAGAAGAAACTTAAATTTCAGTATCTGGACAGAATGAGCAATGTCAAGAACCCACTCTCCTTAGAACGTGGCTCCCGACCGCTTTCATATCATACCTTAATCTCTTGTCCCATCTCTGTTGGTCTACTTTCATAACAGACCAATTCCTGTTGGTTCTCTGAAGCTGGTGCTAGAACCACTTGTTAGTTCGAACGGGATCTGCTTTTGAGACATAGAGTACTCAGAGAATGGAACCAGTAAACAGGTTGTTATTTACGAACGCGATACTAGGTATCTACATATCCCCAAAAATCACTCGTTGGAAGTGTAGAAGACACCTCTGTGCCAAAATAAATGGGGACAATTTGGTGTATATATTTTCCGTTGGCGATAAGAATGAATGGAAATAAGCCATACTGCCGGTTTTTTCAGTCGAATTTTTATTCGAATCCCTGTTCATAATTCATTTTTGGATCCCAGCCGTCAATTTGTTAGTGTTTCTGAAATTAGCCGATAAAATCAACTTCTCGTGTGTCAAGCACCCGTCCATCATATCCCATTTAGCCTTCATTCAATCTTTAATGTTTTAACGCGATGTATTATTCCGGCAAGGTCATCTTAAGGCTTACTTCAGACCATTTTTCTTTGGTTCGTCTTACTCCTCAAATAAGCTACACATAACTGTTAAAGTGCAAGTTTGGCAGCCTTTTGCAGGCCAGAGTAATTGATCAACGTGAGTTTTACAAAATGCAGTTGACCAGTCAACTAATCGGGAACAACTTATCGAGAGCTTTGCAATTAGGATAGTTTAACTATAAACGTTAAACGACCTCGGGTGCACTATTTTCAAAGGTCTAGGCATCAACATATGACAGGGAACATTTGCAAAGAATAGGATACAGTAAATAGAAGTACCAAAAAACTTTTCTAAAATTTTGCCCGTCAAAATCTCCGTTTTTACATAGGCCACGTGTAGTGCTCTAGCTAGTAGGAAACGGACGAACGATATCGAGCCCAGCAGGACACTTCTAAGTGGGACTGTTGTCTGATATGACTTAACCTAATCACAAAGTTGGTGCAACGCCTATTTATTCGTGGGCTCTACGTGGGAAGTCAGGAACTACTGCAGTGGAAGATCAGTAAAGCCAGATCTCTCGGGTATATTTAAAGACAGTCCATACGCGGGATCAGTGGACTACGGGACGAAACAAATTATAACAAAAATGGTCGCTCATCTAGGACGTGGAAGCGGAATCTCTCATAGGCAAAAACAAATTCTTTGATCGCACAGATGTTTCACAAAACAGGATTTCGCTTCAGGCAGAGAGATTCCAATGGTCTATGCGAAAGGGAACCGTTTGAATCTGACGGCCACCGTGAATATACATACCTATGCTTGCACACGTGATTTGTTTATTTGGCCATGCAGTATCCAGAGGCGATCTTTTACGGTGAAAATGTTAGATACCCTAGGGCAGCGGAATAAAATCGAGGTCTTTTGTAACAAGAAGGAAAAACCATGCTTTAGTTAACGTTGCTATGTTTGCGAGTTGGCTGCACGTGATGAACGTGGATTTGCTGGACCAACCGGAATTTTTATCTATTGCTACTATAATATGATACAACGTGCCGACAGCCAAACTATCTTGGACAATTTCTTCTGCCCTCCGCAAATTGCGTATGTATTTCTAAGTGCAACATTGATCACTAATGACTTGAGGAAATCAGTGACATCACATGTATACATAACATATATATATATATAACTATATATATAACTATATA